TCAATCTCTCTTACTACTGCATGCCATCAAGTTGATTCTGACTCATAGTGAACCTGTACAGGGTTTCTGGGGCTGCAGATCTTTACAGGAGCAGAAAGCCTTGTCCTTCTCCCTCAGAGTGGCTGATAGAAGCAGAAAGCCTCATCTTTCTTCTACAAGTTGCTGGTGGATTCAAACTGCTAACTTTAAGGATAACAACCCAACATGTAACCTACTACTCTAGAATGCAATCAATGTCTCAGGTATGGCATTGAAACAGTGCAGGATAAGCACTGGACTGCTAACCGCAGGTCGGCAGTTCAAACTGACCAACCACTCCTTGGAAACTCTATACAGGGTCTCTATGAGTCAGAACCGACTCAGTGGCTCTTAACCACCAACCTTCTTTGAATGTACTGATTCTGTATTTAAAACTCATAAACACAATACAGAGAAAACCCTGATTCCATTATATGAGTTATAAACAATTTTACTAGCCAAAAATGATATATTATATATGTACCAAATAGTATAATCTAACTGTGGCCAAACATGCTTATAAATGATGAGCTGTTTCAGGGTTTTTCATTAACCATTCTATAACAAACTCAAAGTTATCTCCTACAAACTACTTGCTCTCTCATTTTAGTAACAGAACCTCCACACTTACAAGGGTACATAAATTAACTTCCAACTCAAAATTACTTTTTCTAACCCTCTCCTAAAGTTAGGTATGACCATGTGCCTAAATTCAGGCCAATGAAATAAAAGTGAAGATGCTTGCTGTGTAAAAATCAGAAGTCTCCATAAAAAGAAGGCACAGCCCTCTTCTCAATCCTTTATCTTGGAATTGGGGTTTGATCACTGTACTGTAATTCTAATAGCCACTCTGGACAATGAAGATGAGAGCTACACCATACTGATGTTAGAACAGAAAGTTAGAAAGAGTCTAGGAGCATGCTGCCTGCTTATCAATCCTGGACTGCCTACTTAGGGACTTCTTTGACATGCGGGATAATCAAATCCGTTTTTAGAGTTGTTATCACTTTGGGTTTTTCTGTAATATGCAGCTAAATTTAATCCTGCCAAAAATAAACTCCTTTTGCTGTTCACTGGTATACTTACTGTATAAATACATGTTGATAACCAAATGGTTCCAGTAACATGACAAGGAAAATAAGATATAATC